AATTTAGTGCAGATCTTTGCCGACTTTTTTTTATTATTTACATAGTTTACAATCTAGCAAACCTTACACACTTTTACACAGTGTGTTTGCTAAATTGTTTATTTTATTTATTCCATAAATGCCTGCATGCATAGACTAAGGGGCTGTCCATAAACTACGTAGACAGTTTAGGGGGGAGCGGGTGGTAATTATCCACGGCCCATACAAATTTAATTTTTTTGTATGGGCAATTGTCTACGTAGGGGGAAGAGGGGGGTCAAGAATCCCAAAAAACTGTCTACGTAGTTTATGAACAGCCCCTAACATAATTCATAAATAGGTGATGGTTAACTAATTTTAAGGGTAATATTTTAGGGTTAGATGTATATAATTATGTGTAATGTAGCCGTTTCTTCATAATGACCACGGGAGTCCGACAATTTAGTTTTTTTAATCTGTTATTTATGTGTTTGGTATTATACTAATAATTTAAACAAATATATGTAAATTAAATTTACACACATAGAAAACAGATCCCGTGGAGGAAACATAACACATAATTTCTTGAGACTAATTAACAATAGTAATTTTTTTTTTTTTTTTTAATTATAGTCACTTTAACGCTCTTGGTCACTCCACACAGTAAAACGCTGTGCAGACTGGAGAGTTATAGCATGTTATAACGGTTGTCAAATAATTGCAACACAGAAACCACCATCACCGAGTTAGATTTCCACACAGTCAGCGTATATTCTAATGTCTGTCGGAAGCAGAACATCTTTCCATATGAGACTCATTCCGGCCACCAAGCTTATCAAAACCAGGACAATCGCAGCTGCGCTGAAAATCATCATCGACACCTCACTCACAATCCCACTCTTTAAACAAAGCCGTTTTTGGTATCTAAAACTTGTTCCTCCAAGAAAGCTTATTTCTCTAATCATCGGCAAATGCTACCCCGGAGGCAGTTACCCAGAAATAATAGCCCATCCCCAGTTATTGCATCTGATTCGGAGTGAACTTCAGAAAACCTTTTTCTCTCCAAAGAAACCAATCTCACGAATGATGACCGCCGTCGATGAGAATCTTCTATTTGTCCTATTCCTCTAACAGGACTCTACTAGTTGTAACTATAGATACTATAGTTTGAATAGTTCGAAATTGGCTACTGTGCTACCTGACTTATAACGAATATACGTTGTGTACGAGTACCCCGAATACAACGTATGACTCGTCTAATATTGCATAGCATTTGCAATGTAAATTAGACGAACTATGCTAACTATAGTGTGTAAGAAGTAATTCCTCATCTATGGATTTTTTTTTAAAGAATTTCCATAGAATCACCCTAAGATGTCACCTCTTTCTGGCATTCCTTTGAAATTTTCGTCCATAACACAACAATTTTAGAAATTATCTACATACCTTTTTATGAATTCCGTTGAGAAAGTTCTTAGAATTTACTCTACAATTCTAAAATTATCTTAATACTACAATTAAATAATTCTTGCGATAATTCGTTCAAAATGCTTTTTACAATACTCTGTAAAAGCCTCGGTAAAAGCTACCCTTTGGAAAGAATTCTTTGAAATATTCCGAAGAATTTCCTTGCTATTATCTCAGAATTTTCTGGGAAATGTTAACAGAATTAGTTAGTTAATGAGGAATTCTCTGATTTTATTTACATTATTTTTACATTCATTTGCCTCTAACTTTTTTCATCAACAGAATTCCATGAAATGATGTATGAAGCTTTTGTAGGTTTTGATATTAGCTACAACCTTTTTGATTAACTCAAATCTGTATATCTTATGCATGCAAGTGATGCTCCATTTTCTTCTGACGGTTGGGGCATGAGCACTAACTCTTGTCCTAGCCTTTTATTATGACTTATGGCTATAGCGCCATTACTCGCTTTCTGAAAAGAGAAGAGGGAAAGGAAAAGGAGAAGGACAAAGAGAAAAGGATTATGCAAACTCTATGAACATAACAATTTAGAAATGCATAGCGGCGCGGTGGTCACTACCCCGAGTCTTGTCACTATTTTCAAGCCATAAAAAGTAATAAGGACTAAAATGTGATTCTTTGATAACTGGAAAATCCTGATTGCCTAGATTAAAGTTGTCACGTCTAGGGTTCGGTGGTAGATTTTATACCAGTAACGCACCACAAAAAGGTGATCTCCCTACGTTACTGGTTTGAAAAGATAAAAAATTACAAATTGGAACGAACTCACCAAGTTTTAGCCAATTGAACCTGAAGGCTGCCTGACATGTGTTGATGTAGAATTCCAAATTGTAGAAGAAACTTGACGAAGATCAACATGAACTAGTCCGGTTTATGGTAGTTGCGCGGAATGTCTTGCGTCGATTTGAGATGAACAAATTACCGGATGTATATGGTCGATTTTTGATGTGCATTGGTAAGCCTTTTCGTGGCCAATAGTCAGGTTCAACGCTGCGACTCAACGAATGATGGGACGCATCGTGGAGGTTCTACTTGGTTTCGGAACAGCTTCTCAGCGGCAAATAATAGGGAACGAACTAGAATGAGGAACTAGAAATTGTCTCTTGGGCCTGGTTTTGGCCAGATCAGCAACCGATTATAGATTCGGAAAAGTCTCACCACATTCTACCAGCTACTCAATATAATCAAAAGCCGTCACGAAACTTCCTTCTCCCATTCTTTGCGAGTATGCGACATCTTCACTATTCTTCTAAATTGTCTTAATGCACTTCACCCAGGTTTTTTACACATTCACGGGTACCTCCGTTTTGCCGCGAATCGGTTCCAGACGATTCCCTCCTCGACACTTCATTTCTCGGAACTTCATTTTTCGGAATGGGTTTCCCTCGACTAGGACACATTTCTAAAGATTTTTTCCTGAATCACGAACACTAAAATATACTTTTGAAATCATCACCCGCGTTTGAAACTTCATCAAGTCATACAAATTCACTCGAAAAAAGTACAGCTTCATAATTTAAAAAAAAAACATTGTTTTAGCTGTAATGAGAATTTGCAACCTTGTTTTCAGGTATTACGGAATCAAAATATAGTAGCCTAGTCGCTTTGGGCTAGGCAATTTGATTCGACTTGCGAAATGAGGCCCCTGGATCTCCGAGTTAGGGAGAATCACTTGATTCTACGAAAAATTTAAGAACGGTCCAGAGATCCATAGGCCAAAGTTAGTGCTTTTTCTCCTATTTTTTTACAGCATTCTCTTCTGATTGGGATGCTAAAATATAATAAATTATTACAGTCAACTCTCCCTTACTCGATCTCTCCTTAACTTGTAACATGTGCCATGGACGAGTGCACAGATGAATTAAAATTCTGAGGTTCATGCACTGACAAAAATTTCACATGAAAACTAAATTTTTATGATTTATAATTCATGAACATTTAGTGTTCATTTTTTAAAACATTGGCCCGCGCTCCTGTCAAATGTTCAACAGTGCATGAACTCAAATCCATCGGTGCACTCGACCATGAGTTAATGTCGATCAATTTAAGCTGAACATTGCATTAGGTCCTAAGTAACATTGACAGATTCTCTTCGTCGACTTTCTCTTTGTATTCCCACGGCCATGTAAAGACATTCCCAGGTATTTTCAGCACACAGATCGATAAAAGAAGCATTTATCTAGCTTCTAATACGACAAACACAACAAGAAACGGTTCACTAGTTATTAACGAAAGAGAAAGTCGACGAAGAGAACCGATCAATATTACTTAGGACCTAATGTAATGTTCAGCTTGAATTACCTATTAGGTTTTGCACCGTCGGGGTTAACCTCAATCTGATGACAGTTCAGTGGTACTGTTCACGTGGACTTAGTCGATTTTTTCTTGGATAGATTTTCTAGATAATTTTTCAGACTGCAGTGAGATGTAAACCACACTTCTGCATTGTCCACGAGCAACATCCTTTCACCGCGCTGTTCCTAGAAAATTTTCATGTTAAATTCGGAAATTTTAGAATATATTTTTTTTCGAAAAAACGTCTAAGTGCTTGTAAATAGTACCACTGAACTGTCAAAAATGTTCAGCCGATAATCACTAAGTTCATTTGTGACGACACGCTGTAGTACCTCATAGACGAGTGCACGGATGGATTTGAGTTCACTCACTCTACAAAAAGTGACACAACAGCGGGGCCCTGTTTACAAAAAATGAACATATGAAAAGGGCCTATCAACTTTTGTAAACAACTTCCTAGGTCCTTTTCACGAGAACCGAAGTACGCCCACGCAAACCAAGAGCACTATTGGGAAGGGGAAAATTTTCCCTACCCGATGGTGTTGTTAGTTTGCGTGGGCGTATTCGGTTCGCACGAAAAAGGCTTAACAAGTTTTGTGTACAAAAGTTGGTAGGCCCGTTTCAAATGTTACGCGAGTATTATTCATGTGTGCAGTTTAAGTCGTATTAGTTGCTAGATAAAAGCTTCTTTTATCGATCTGTGTACTGAAAATACCTGGGAAGGTCATGGCCGTGGGGATACAAAGATAAAGTTTACAACTAGAATCTGTCAATGTTACTTAGGACCTAATGCAATGTTCAACTTGATATGTATAGGATGCTGCACGCTGACGTCACGAATGAACGCGATGAACCTGCATTCATCAGTTTGTCATCCAGTGGTGGTTTGTTTACCTTTGCTTGTTAGTCGATTCAAGTGGATTTGAGGCTTCAAATAATAATAATTAAAAGATATGATATCCGACTATGTTCGTTTGAAAAATATTCCTTTCCAAATATGCATAAAATAAACATTTAATGAATTTTTTATTTTTTTTCTATGTCCATGTAAACAAACCACTGCCAGATGTCAAAAAAATGAGGTTAAGCCGACGGTGTAGCTCCCTATTGACCATTTGATTGTTTTTTTTTGTGGATTACCCATGGAATTTGGATTAGCTATATGGGGCAATTTTTTTTTATTAAGCTTTTATGAGCGGGAGTTCTCCATATCCCTAAGTATTGATAGTCTCCCCAGCCAAATCCCCTTAGTTTAACTTTCATCGATTTATTCTAAAATAAATAATCACATTACAATTTGGTATCTACCTTCCTAAATTCGCCGTATGGCACTATTTCGTCCTCACTACTCATGGCTGGGTTGTCATGACCCTGCTTTGAACCGGCTTCCACACTGTCACTCTTCGGGGAGCTCTTTTCGAACAACTTGTGTATGCTTTCCAAATCTCGTCCTTTCGTTTCGGGAACGACGGTTATCACAAATACCACTCCGACGGCGCACAGAATGCTGTACATCCAGAATGTTCCCGATGTTGTGATGATCTGAAGAGAAACGAATAAGTAATTTTAATTGAGCTCTCAACATGACAGATGGCGAAATTTGCAGTGCATACATCTTCAAGGGGATGGTAGGTTTTGATCACAATGAACATCACCAGCAGATTGAACGATCCGGCCAGAGAACTCAGCAAACTTCGCTGAGCCGTTGGAAATAGTTCACCCATCAAAAGGAATGGAATGCAACCGAATCCGATGGAGAAGCCAACCATGAAAACTATCAGACTCGCCACCGGAAGGTACCTGAAATGAACTTAATATGAGTTTCCAATCAATTAGTCACAGATGCGGACATCACATTACCCAAAGTTTGTGTTTCCAATCGAATTCAGATGGAAAGCCGCTCCCATAGAAGCCATGGCAATGGACATAATCACTCCGGAAGTGATAAGCAGAGGTTTTCGCCCAGCTCGATCCACCACAAACAGTGCAGCGAAGTTACTAAGTACCTGAACGGCTCCCACGATAATGGTAGCTAGGTGTCCATCCAAAGAGCTTCCTGCTGATCGGAATATCTCCACCGTAAAAAAGATCACAGCATCTATTCCACTCAACTGTTGAATCGAAAGCAGTGCTAGACCGATGGCTAGAGGAAGTAGGACTTCTCTGCGGTACAAGGCGTCTTTGGAGAATGGTTTCTCTTTCCTGAAATGAATTTAGATTGTTACAACTGAGATCACAATCAACTAAACTTAGCTACTTTTCCACCGTAGTTCCATTGTTCACTGCTTTCTGAATTTCTTGAGCTCTCGGGTCGAAGGTAAACCCCTGCAGGTGCAGCCATTTGGCCGAGTTATGAGCTTTTTCGTACCGTTTCTTCGTCTTCAACCAGACCGGGGATTGTGGAAAGCTTATCACAGCTATGAATAGGAATACTGAAAATGTGCCTCATTAGTGGGAAACCTTTTGTGAAAATTCTCAGGCACTCACCTGCCACACCGCAGCAGACCCATGCCAGCGTTCGCCACACGACGTACTTTCCAAGCACGTAGATCACCAATATCCCTGCTGACATGGACAATGCAGGCAACGATCCAATAACTCCCCGAATCTTCGGATCGCTACACTCACTCACGTAGATCTGCGCTGACGGCAGTGTTAATCCTGCACCGAATCCGGATAGCATCCTCGCTATCAGAAGCACCCTCCAGTCCTCAGCCGTTGCTATCAGAATCCATGCGGCCACCCACACCGGTGACGTCAGCATCACGGTGTATTTTCGACCGATTTTGTGCATCAACGGAAATGCCACCAGACTGCCGAAGAGGGCTCCAAAGGGAGGGATGGAGCTGACCCAGGAGGCGATGTTTTTGCTGGGGAGCAGCCCTGGATTGATTTCGTTCATCGATGGAACGGCGGGGGCTGAGTAGCCTCGAACAAGGCCGATGCAGAAATAGGACAGCGAAACGGACAACGACAGCAAGGTCTGCAAAAGGTTCGGAAAAGGCAAGTTGTAAATTAGACGCATGTGTAGAAAGGTGGGTGATTTATTAGGTGCAGTGACAGTTTACGATCACTGGATATGGGGGACATTTAAATTTTAATTAGTGCGTTTGGCGTGTTAACCGCAGGCTCTTTTTGAGCGAAGTAACCTGGCCTTGAAATCATAAGGCTTAGTGAATTTTGTGAAACAATTTATTTTCCCGTGTTGAATGGAAGTTTGGTTGACGATGTCGTAAATTGAATACTGCATACTTAGTGCTATTGAAAGTCAAGCTGATAGTAAATGTCACGCAAAAGAATGCAGCGTTGTGTCTGCTGTGCTCTTGATGCATGACCGTACCCTATATAAAGTTGGTGGATTGTCAAGGTGCATTTGCATTACTAACTGAAGGCGCTAGGTTTGCCTGGAATCTGGCACAGTTTAATGCAACGCAGCGGGACGTAGTGAGGTGGCGAAAATGGCCCCCACCAACGATGGCAAGCCAAAGGGGCGTATTCAGAGAGTATTTTCTTAGCCAATTTCACACTAAATTCATTTCATTGTAATTTAATTTATAGGCATATAAAGAGGGGTTGTAGGAGGGGATGTAGCGTTCTTCCCCCTAATTCAATATCACAATAAATTTAAAGTTTTTTTTTGTTAGTTTAAGAATTTTGTAAAACGCTGGCCAGACTGAGCAGTTATAACATGTTATAACGGTTGTCAAATAATTGCAACACAGAAACCACCATCAAGATAGTGCTATAACATGTTATAACTCTGTAGTCTGAACGTACTATAAATTTTGTGTTTCAAACAGTCAAAGGGGAGACTACTTATGTTGAATAGTAATCCAAGCAGAGTTAATGTACACGTGCATCCATCCCGCGTGATAGAGACACGCTTTCTATAAGATCGTAGGTGCCTGGCAATGACATTTATATAAGGTCTGGGCCAAGAGGCAGCTTGCTGGTGTTAGAAGCAAAAATGTTGTAAACATTGCTGAACATCTGCGAACAGATAGATATACGTCACTGCCAACATACTGAGAACAGATAGATATACGTCACTGCCAACAGCTGTTTCGTGTAAAAAGATAAACATTGCAATATAATACGAACACCACTAACCATTTGCACATTTCACTAACACCAATAAGCCCTTTGGCCCAGACCTTATATAAACGTCATTGGGTGCCTGGTACATTTCGAGACGTATTATTTCGCGTTTCTTTTTTGTTCCTACGTGCCTCATTCGTGTCACATGTGCTGTGTCTCATGAGCTAAGCTCGACAAGCTCCAGGGAGATCGGCAGCGTACCAGCGTTCTACGCGTACAGCAGAGAACTGTTGTAGTCCTGTCACATTCTCGTGTTGCTGGTACAACTGATTGATTTCAATCAGTTGGTATTCAGTTTTTGAGGGTTGAGAGATTGTGGTTTTATAGAAGTATTTCAAGCGGAAGATGAGTTAAACGATTACGAACCAATTACCAGAGGGGTTATTTGTTACCGATCCATGCGCATGGAATTTTTATGGTTCAAAATATTGATTTAGCTCCACCAAGTTCAAACAATTTCAACTCAGCTCCTGATTATTCTCACAAAATTTGTTCTCATTAGGATGCGAACTCATACTGCACTTGGCCCTTTGAAGTTTATGTGGGATTGAAAAATTGAAAGTTAGGATAATTAGTTATTAATTGATTAGGAAGATGATGTTCTTCTGACATGGTTCATTTACTACTCAGCAGACAAAAAATCGAGGCTATTATGTCATAAGGGCAAGATGCAGTGTTGTCCTGAAAACAGCCGATTAATGCTACCAGCAAGTTATCAACTTGGAAATTAATTAATAAAAATTTTTCTTGACATTCAACAAAGTTGTAGCTGGGAAATTTTCACGTCAGAGTGGGGGGGGGGGGCTCTGATGGACAACTTTTCCGTGAATCATTATGGTGCAGGGCTAGAACGATGAGGACAAAAAATACACTTTTCTTATAGTAATTCCCATATAAACTTCAAAGAGCCAGTGCAGAATCAGTTCGCCACCAAATTAGTTCAAATTTTGGGATATTGATCAGCCTGATTTGGATCCGATTGATCTTGGTGGATCAAATTGATAGGTATAGCTGGCAGAGAACCAATAGTTCGGAGGGCCCTTTAAAAAAAACTTCGTTGTTGAAATTGATTCGTGTGACTTCATCCATCAGTATTTTCAGCCTTTCAAGCTGTAGCCGACATCACTAGTTAATTCAAACATGTACTTAAATTTGAGAACTGTTCAAATATATTTAGACAAAAAGCATGGTGTGTTCGTCCCAAGTAGTAGTCAACCTGAAAATATGATGAGAAATAAGAAAACTGGATTGTAAATTTTGGGATGAATCCAACATATTTGTCACTATATGAATCGAAAACCATGTTTTCCAAAATGTTTATTTAGTAGGCTCAATTACTTTGAAAGCTATGCGGAGCCGAAGGACTAAACAAATATTACATTGGAGATCTAAATCGATTTCCTATATTATTTTTTTTGTTTGCAACGCATCGAATCTCGACAGATCCACAAACCCTTTCTGCCGAGGATGCTGATGTTCGTTTTTGCATGCTTTATTGGCCTCCTGAGGGCACGTCCATTATCACCACCTCTTCATGCAGCACCTCTACCACTTCCTCTGTTGATTTGCTGGTGCTGTCTGACAATGCACCTACAGCAACTACACCAGGGATCGAACTGCTATCCGAGTTGCAAGGAATTTTGTAGTTCTTCAAGAAACTTCGTGGTACTTCAGGGATTTTTTTAAAAGTTCAGGAAACTTTCTTGAAGTGCAGATTTTTCTTTAAAGTTCAGCTAACATTGTAGAAGCTCACTGAACTTCAATGAACTTTGTATAGTTTCATCGAACTGCTTCAGTAACTCTTCTTCTACGTACCTGAAAAAGTTATAAGGCAACGACACTTCATACACCTCGCAGTTTGTAATTGACAGTATGGGCTGAATGAGGCTATTCATACGGTCGCTAATGTAATTTGTAACACTTATGCTTCGTTTGACTCTAATGTTCCGTTAACTGTTTTCACTAGAACACTGTTCTGATTTTGAATGCTTCTTTGGTATTATTATTATATTTTGTTTTATGCATTAAGACCAACATATGTCAGATGAATCTTGAGCTAAATTTAGTGAAATTATTTGAAGTTCTGAGATCATGGAAAAGTTCAGAAAACTTTGTAGAAGTGGGAACTTTATACAAGTTTAGGTATCTTCTTAGAAGTTTATTGTTAAATGGCAGGGAACCTCTTTATTATTCAGGGACCTTTTTTATAACATCAGAGCTTTGATGAAACCTCATGGACTTGAAATAGTTCAGAGAATCCCGCACAAATTCAGGAAATTTCGTGCGTCGAACTTTGCGCAAAATCAACGAGAAACGTAGACGTGAAGCAAGCTTTGATGAAGTTTTGTGGACTGCGTAATAATTCGAGGAACTGCGTATAACCTCATGGAAGTACAGGGCCTTTTGAAAAATTTCAGGGAATTTCGTAAAGATAGAAGACTTCAGGGATCTACGTTTCAGTTTAGTTTACTTCATAGCAGTTTGTCAGAGATCTTAAAAATTTCAATGAACTTCCTGAAGATGAAGATTTTGGACCATCGTTTAATTTCATGGTACTTTGAAATTTGAGTAAATTTTCTAAAACTTAAGGAAATTTTGTAGATGTTCAGGAAACGTTGCATAAGTAACAGTATATTCTTTCAGATATGCTCCCTAGACAGCCAGGAAGTTTTAAAAGATCAGCATTTGCTGATGTTCTTCTGATCTGAATTAGCGAGTTGCTAAAAAAAAGGATGACTTAAGAATATGCTTAAGTTTTTGAATATCATAATTTTTCAAATGGATAAATCAACTTTCAACACGGTCTTTTCCAAATTTAAACCATACACTCTGGCAACATGGTGGCAACATGGTGATTTGATTGGTTGATCTGTTGCAGGTTGTAGCAATGGCTGTACCACTTTCTGGTTTGTTGTAGCGAGATGGTGGCGCTTAGTGGTCACTTTGTGGAATTGGTGCCGATACTCAGGCACTTCCTTCTGACACTGTTGGTATACAAAGGCAAGGTCACCCATTATCTAACCGAAAAGGTTATTTCTTCTTAGCGATTACGGACATCGACGCGAAAACGATGCCATCGAAACCCGCAGAGCAATGGTCAGCAGAAGCCACCTACATAGATCGTACCGTGCCAACCACAAAGCGATTTGAAGGAACGGAACAGAAGGTCGGTAGACTTTGTGATATTAATAATTGGAATGGTAAATATATCACTGCACTGGTCTACACGTTTATCTGAGTTAAAGCCAACGATGCCCGCTCATCACAGCAAAAAAATAATTTTGATATCACATCAAAGTGGATGCACTACAATCATGTCGAAAATTTCATGTAATTTTTATGACCACTTAAATAAACAAATGCAGTAAAAGCAGCGTAATGTCAGTTCATGCATTGTATTAATGATAATTTTGTCCTTTTTAGCAAGTAATATTACACCATATTTTCGACATGATTGTAGTGCATCCACTTTGACGTGATATCAAAATTATTTTTTTGCTGTGATGTCACTATTTTGCTGCAGCTATTTAGCATAGACCGCGCCATCACCCAGTGGGTCAGCGCTTCTGTTATAGAATTTATCTGAATGCTCGATCACATGAGGCACATTTAAAAGAAATCTGAACATTTTTAAAGTAATGATAACAAAGTACAAGTGAAATCGTAAAGGTAATACGCCAAGAAAAAAATGTTCTGCAAAAAATTCTTCCACCCATTGAATTATCATAACATTGCTGCATTCGTAGCATTCCGATATAATCTATTCAAAATACGTAACATCCCATCTAGCAATGTATATGTACCAGTTGTGTTGCCGATGAATGGTTAAATTACGTTGAAAATGTGTGAACGTCTTGCAACGGTCAAATCCCCGTACTAAACAAT